ACAATAAATCAAAAAATTAGCTGGGCGTGGTAGCGTGCGCCTGTAGTTCCAGCTACTTGGAAGGCTGAGGCGGAAGGGTTGCTGGAGCCCCAGCAGGTCGAGGCTGCGGTGGCCTGGAGCGGCCACTGCACTCCAGTCTGGGTGACAGAGTGAGACTCCAACTCAAAAAAAAAAAAGAAGCTCACTAAGTCATATGCTATAGCCACAGGCAACATCACTGTGCTGGCCACTATGTCATGTCTGTTGCTGAGTTACAAGAACAACGCCATGGGGGACAGCGGGAATCTTACCTCTCACCTCACCTACAAACCCTGCTGACCAAGATCACAACGGGCCGAGAAGGCCTCACTGACCTTCTGAATACCCACAGACTGGCGGATGTTCAGCTTTCTTTTCCTCTGAAAGGTGTCCAAGTCCCACAGCTGAGCTGTGTCAGAAGAAGTGGTGATGGCGTATTTCCCGGACGCATGCACGGAGATGGAAAACACTGAGGACTCGTGTCCTCTCATCCAGCTAACGAGCTCCTTGGTGACTGTGGGAAAAACACAACTGTCACCCAGGGAAAACCCTGCACATCCATATCCATCTATACACATCTGTGAATAACACTATATATGAAAACTGAGCATGAGGAGGAATGGACCTATCAGCATCAGGAAGTAATCAGCTGAGGTTTAGGGTGGATTCTGAGTGCTTGGGGGAATGTGCAAGCAGAGAGAACAGTCTGGCAGGAACACCACCAAAACCACCCATGAGCACGAGAGCCATGGCAGTGGTGACTTCTGTTTGGCCTTCCCACTTTTCCGTGTATTCTCAACCCTTCTATGGTGGGCACGTTTTACCTTCTGGTCAGAATTTTTCCTCTAGATAGACAGAACTGAGAATAGTGAGAGAACGAGATTTAAATCTGGGAAACATTAAGATACAAAGTAGGTCAAAACTGAGACAGAGAAACAGACAAATCCCTAGGGAAGTAGCAGTGGTTTCCAAACACCAGACTGAAGTCCGGCATTAGTTATTGGTCAGTTTTTCACTGGTCTTCAGAGACAGGAGAAAAATAAGGTGAATGCAGTGAATTTTTCATAAAGTCATATTTAAAGTACTGATCTTTAATCTAGTATTACATTGCTCCAAGCTTATGTTGAAAAAACCCTTAATTTATGAAATGAAATATCATTTTTTCAATATCAATCAGCAAAATTAAAAGTCGACAAGCTATGTGGGTTCCTCCACTTAAAAAAAAAATCGAGTTGAAAATTCAAAAGTCAAATGATGGCATAATTGGTTGAAGAGTACTACACATCAGTCAAAAGAAAAAAAAAGAAAAGAACATTTCAAAGTCTCAGAAAGAATCTAGGAGAGACGACTAAGAAGCAGTTGGAGACGGGGAGCCAGGGAGGTGGAGTGAGGCCACGGGTCAAGTGCTGCTGCGAAGCGGGCGGAAGGCATGAGAAGCGCAAGAAAAGGAGACGGCGGGGAAGGGGCGCCATGGGGCCAGTGGGACGGAAGAGGCCACGAAATGCTGGTCCTGCGGAGGAAAGGGGGCAGAAGACAACGAAAGTGACCCCGCGAGGGAAAGACTCCGCTTTCTGGAAATGCTGACAGTGTTCATGACACTAAGAGTGGAAACCGGTCTAAAAGCTCAAAAACAAGTATTAGGCCAATAGTCATGTCACTGCACACATCTATGCGGTACTTTCGGTACTGGTTTATTTTATTTTTTTGAGTTGGAGTCTCACTCTGTTGCCGAGACTGGAGTGCAGTGGCTGCTCCCGGCCACTGCAGCCTCAACTCACTGGGCTCCGGCGATCCTTCCGCCTCAGCCTTCCGAGTAGCTGGAACTACAGGCGTGCGCTACCACAACTGGCTTATTTTTGGTTTATTGTAGAGACGAGGTCTCACCAAGTTGCCCGGGTGGGTCTCGAACCCACAGGCTCAGGCAATCCACTTGCCTCAGCCTCCCAAAGTGCTGGGATTGCAGGTCAAGCCACTGAGTCCAGCCAGGAACTGATTTTAAATATGCTGTAGAAATGAGGTAAAATGACTCCACAAAACTACCTAGGTAGGGTAATTACATATTTGCTAGAGTATTTTAAAAGTATAACATAGAAAACAGAATAGCAAGGTCAGAGACCTTGAGAAAATCACTGACACTTTCAGGCATGGCTAAAGCCCACCATTTTTCTACTGTGCAAGAAGAGCAAGCATGTGGCACAGTGATTAGGGGCAGAGCCTCTGCAGCCAGACCACCTAGGCCGGAATTCCGGCTCCACGGCTTATAAACTGTAGGACCTCGGTCAGGTCATCTCTGTGCCTCAGTTTCTTCAGCCTCAAAATGGGGATAATAACAGTATCCGTTTCCATGGGTTATTATGATGATTAAAATTAACACATATAAAGTCACAGAACAGTCCCTGGCCAAGAGTAAACATCATATAGTGTTAACTATCGCTATTATCATTTTTTGAGTTGGAGTCTCACTTGTCATCCAAGGCTAGAACACAGTGGCACAGTCACAGCCCATCATGGCCCTGACCCTCCTGGGCTTAGATGACCCTTCCACCTCAACCTCCTGAGAAGCTGGGACTATAGTCGAGTGCCACCACACCTGGCTAATTTGATTATTTTCTGTAGAGACGAGGTCTCGCTATGTTGCCCAGGCTGGTCTCAAACTCATGGGCTCAAGCACTCTCCCACCTCAGTCTCCCAGAGTGCGGGGATTACAAGCATGAGCCAGTACCCAGCCTATTATTTATACATCTTTCTAAATATTCAACACATCAATTACTTTAATAAGAAAAAAATACAGTTGAGATATTTCTCTTTTAAAAGAAGTTTAGTTCACAGAACTGTTTCCAATTTTTAAAAATACGAAAAACTAAAAATTAATGGGGTATAAAAGACATCTATTTTTTTAAAGTATGATCATACCAGTGTAGTAAGGGATTTGGCCTTCAGGGAGGGTCTGCCCTGTGCTCAGCATCCCGGGCGTAATCTTTAACCCCTCGACTTCCCCACGTGGCAGATGTGTCTGCTATCCCCGGTGGGTCCCTCACCCCACTCCAGATAGTGGATGCTACGAAGATCGTGGTGGACAGCCCCCCAGGAGACCAACCACGGGATGAGAAGGCTGGGCTCTGGGCCGGGTGACGTCAGCCTAACCTCTCGGGAGAGGGGCCTGGAAACTGTGTTCGACTGCACGGCAGCCACCCAATCCACCATGCCTCCGTGAAGGAGCCTCGGGAGTAACTCCTGACACCGAAGTGTGGGTACATGTTCCAGGGCAACACCGGGTGCAAATGCTCACATCGATGCCAGGAGGTGACCTGAGAACACACTCGGTTCTGCAAGTCTTCCAGGCTCTACTCCACATGGCTCTTTCTTTGGCCAGTTCTACTTTCTATCCTTTCACTATATTAAAACTGTAATCATAAATACAGTGCTTTCCTGAGTTCTACAAGTCGTCCACTGAATCATCAAATCGGGGCGGGTGGGGAGCCCCAGATGTGTAGCCAGTCCATCTGCAGAAAGGATGATCCCTGACCCCATGCCTGGCTGGTGCCCAGAGTGAGGGCAGTGGTGGGACTGCTCCCTCTAACTGCACAGTCTGGGAAGCCCCTATAGTTCTTCAATCTGTGCGTCACTCAGCTTCCAAAGACAAACAGGAAAACTTCTTACCTGTATCAAAACATTTAATTGAATAATCAGCTAATGCCACAAGGAATTCAGATTTCCTACGAAGATTAAAGGCCAGAGCTGTACAAGCTTGTGCTGTTCGCTGAACAAGATTAAACCTATAAAGAGATCATTGCATTAGTATGAGCAATTCTTCCAATAACAATACATCCCTGATGAAATCCTAGAGATGAAGAAAATGAAACCCAGAAAAATGAGCTACCATTTCCCAAGGCTAAAAATAGACCATGAAGGGCACTATACTTGGAGGGAGTGTGATCTCACCTACACAGACAGGAGGCCACGTGAGTTTTTTGGTGCAGAAGCATAGCCAGGCCTGTCTTTCAGGAAGACGAACCTGGTAGCATGCAATGGTTGGAGACAAAAGGAAGAAAAAGAGAGTATTAAGAAAGCCACCAAGGAGAATCCCAGCCAGAAGCATGGCACCCAACAGAAGGCACCAATGGAGGGTTTTCAGAAGCTGAGCAGAAAGAGACTCACTAGGCATTAAACGCAGGGTGAAGAAGGACTCAGGAGTTACCATGTATGAAATGGTAAGAACAGGTGTGGTGCTGCTGTGATGGCAAAATGAAATGATACATATTGAATGCTTCGCAAGTGCTGGGCACAGGGCTGGAGTTTCTTTTCCAAAAAGTTTGCTTTTGAACTTAGGCAGAAGAGGAACAAGTTTTAAACAGGTTGAGTTTAAGGCCCTTGTAAAACATGTAGAACCATGCTGTCCGAAATAAATACAATGTGGGTCACATGTGCAACTTAAAATTTTCTAGGAGCCACATCAAGAATGCAAAAATAGGCCAGACACAATGGCTCAGGCCTGTAGTCCCAGCCACTTGGAAGGTGCAAGTGGGAGGACTGCTAGAGCCCAGGAGTGTGAGACCAGCCTGGGCAACTTAGTGAGACCTCAGCTCCACACACACACACAAATAATAATAGTAAATTAGCTGAGCATGGTGGCACATGCCTGTAGTCCCAGCTCCTACTCAGGAGACTAAGATGGGAGGATCGCTTGAGTCTGGGAGTTGAAGGCTGCGGTGAGCCATGATCATGTCACTTTACTCCAGCCTGGGTGACAGAGTGAGATCCTAACTCAAACAAAAAAGAAAGTAAAAATAAAAGAAAGCAAAATTAATCCGAACAACATACATTTATTAGCTGGATCTGTATTTAAAACCTCGTCATTTCAACATTTACTCAACCAAAAATTGAGATATTTTACATTCCGTTTTCTATTAAGTCACAATCCAGTATGTATTTTCATTGTACACTCGCAGTGTGTCCATTTGGACCACCACCTGTCAAGGGTTCAAGAGCCACATGCCCAGTCCAGAAGCGGTCTGCGGCAACAGCGTTTCCAGGGCCTGAGGCCAGCAAGAGGCCCTGGACCCGGGGGTGGCAGGCACCGCAGGGGTAGCACTGGAGGAGTCAGCAAAACCCAAGACAGAATGATGCGCAAGACAGGCCATTCAGCAGAACCCAGGAAGCAGAGGAAAGCATTTCAGGGGAAGGGAAGACTAGGTGTTTCGGTAACATGAGCGCTGAAAAGAGGCAAGGGACTGGGCACTCAGGGAGGCTCTGAGGGAGCTGGGGCATCTGAGGCCAAGGCTTGGCTCTGCACTAACTGCTCAGCTCTGCCTGAATGTCTTTAGTGACAGGCCACAGGACATGCCACCCCAAATATGCCACTTTGGCATAAGGATTATTTAGAACTGAAGGCAACTGAGAAGAGGCAGATACAAGAACAACTATCTGCCCTCCCCCACGTGCCTAAAAGCATCGGTTACCTTTGCATAAACTGACAAGGGAAGGACAGAGGCTGGCCCAGGAGGCGACTGGACCCTTAGCATCCTGGAGATGCCAGCCTTCATGTATCATGCATTTCCCATCTGGCTGCCTTTCCACAGTCTGCTACCCTTGAGACTCAAGGTTCTTTTCCTTGTCTTGTCAATTCTCTAAAAATGCACTGCACTTTGTTGAAGACTACAAGCTAGGGTCTAAGCCACTTCTTTGAGTTACTAATTTGTGGGTACGCCCATGAGTCACATGCAAGCTGCAAGTTAATAACTCTTCGCTTTTCCCTTATTAATCTGTCTTTTGTTACAGGGCCCCAGTTGAAAACTTAAGAGGGTAGAGGGAGAATTATTTTTTCCGCCTATCAATAGATCGCGAAAGGAAACAATGGACAAAGGAGGGAGGAACACTCACGCGGGCAAGTCCCAGGGAGGCTACAGAAGACAGGCCCAGGACTGGAAGACATTAACACCACTTGTCATTATGAATAAGGCGACAAGGCAGTACGGATGGTCAAACTTGATGCATTTGAGGCTGCACTGGGGGAGGAGGAAGGGAAGTTTGAAATAATTTTTTCTCACCAATTAGGAGGCTGAGCAGTCAGAATGAGGGCAGGGGTCAACACAAGAGGCCAAGGAAATCAGAAAAGGCCAGCAATGCTCTGCAGGATGAGAAAAGTAAACACCAGTAGGTAAGCAAGGAATCACCAGTGGTGAAGGTCATTGCTCTACAGTGGGATCAATCAGCAATTGTTTCTAATTTGCTCAGAAGTGTGAGCAAAGAAGAGATGTCACATTGATTTAAGACTGGAAATTAGTGGGGTGGGTCAGGCAAGATTAAAGGTAGAAGAACTGAGACCATTCCTTTTTGGGTAAAGGGCAGAAACAAAGATTAACAAAATTTCAACCTAACAAATCACAGATAAGTAAATCATATGTGGCTTCTTCTTGTCTTGAACTATTTGAGAGTAAGTTACCAAGATCATGCTTCCTACAAACAAAATTCTCCTTCATAATCACAATACAACCATCAGAATTAAGAAATCGCACTTAAGTATTTCCACCATCTAATCCTGAAACCCCAATCAAATTTTGCCAATTGTCCCAATAATGTCGTTGACAGCAAAAGAATCAGCCCAGATTCACACCTTTGTCATGTCTCTTTAATCTCCCCCAGTAGGGAGTTCTTCAATCCTTCCCCAACTTTCATGACCGTGACCCTTGTGAGGATTATAGGACAGCTGTTACTGAATGCCCTTATTTAGCTTTGACGATTCCACCGGTTAGATCTGGGTTCTCTATCTTGGCAGGATATAATGGGATTGAGGCTGTGTTCCTTTCGCTGCACCCTATCCAGGGCTCACACATCTTGTTCATCCCACTGCTGGTTATACTAACTTTAATCACTGAGTAAGGCAGTTCACCAGGGTTCTTCATTGTATAATTACTCTGTAATTTTTAAGAAAAAAAGTTAAATCTTCCCTAATTAACAAGTAATTCGTGGCGAGGGACTTTGTGACTATGCGATAGTCCATTTCTCATTATTTATTTGTTTGTTGATTACAACATGAACCTGTGGATTTCAATTTATTTAATGGAGTACGATCCATTACTATCATTATTTATTTGATTACCTGTTTCACCATTACTATTTTGATGCCCAAACGATCTCTAATATGGCCAGAAGGACATTCATGCTGGCGCCTGTGTCCTTCTGACACACCCCCATTTTTCACTGAACAAATTCTTCTTTCTGGATACAAAACACTCCAGGTTCATCCTGTACTTTCCCAGGCCCTGCTCTGAAACTGGCAGTTTTTGCAAAGAACGCTGATTCCTCTTAGTAGAAAGTGGTATGCAGAAAACAAGAACTGAGCACCAGATTCTTCAGTGCTGCTGGCATGCTGCTGCTCCCAGACCTCCTGAGTGACAAAGCAGGGAACATGTGTACATGTATTTGGACATGCCTCCATTTAATCTTATCTATTTCCGTATGTTCAAGCCCAGGATTCAGGCTACATATCCAATTCCAGTCTAGCATGGCAGAGTTCATTCTCATTTTCTTTCCCTATTTGTAAGTCCCTGTTCCAAGAATGAGAAACCCAGGCCACACTGGCCCCTATGTATTTATGTGCTCAAAGTCCTCTGTCTGTAGCCAGTCTCCCTCCACTGCCCATCTCCCATGCTGTTGGACTACAAGGGAGGAACAGGAGGACAAAGAGAAAAAATCAGTTCTTTAAAAATCTTTTTTTTTAATGAGTTGGAGTCTCACTCTGTCACCCAGACTGGAGTGCAGTGGCCGCTCCTGGCCACCGCAGCCTCGACCTGCTGGGCTCCAGCGATCCTTCCACCTCAGCCTTCCAAGTAGCTGGAACTATAGGCGCGCGCTACCACACCCGGCTAATTTCTGATTTATTGTAGAGATGAGGTCTCGCCAAGTTGCTCAGGCGGGTCTCGAACCTGCGGGCTCAGGCAGTCCACTCACCTCGGCCTCCTAAAGGCGCGGGATGACAGGCTGAGCCACCAAGCCCGGTTTAAAAATCTTATTATCGGCCAAGCATGGTGGCTCATGCCTATAATCCCCGCACTTTGGGAGGCCGAGATAGGAGGATCACTTGAACCCAGGAGCTCAAGACCAGCCTGCACAATACAGTGAGTCCTCATCTCTACAAAAAAAATTAAAAATAGCTGGGTATGGTGGCATGTATTTGTAGCCCCAGCACTGGGGAGGCTGAGGCAGAAGGCTCGCCTGGGCCCAGGAGGTCAGGGCTGTGGTAAGCCATGATTGTGTCACTGCATGCCAGCCAGGGTGACAGAGTGAGACTTTGACTCAAAATAAACAAATAAATAAATACAATTCTTACATCTAGTACAGTGTAGCAATACTGTACAAAGAAAATTGTGGAACCACATAATGTTTCTATCCTTCCCCACTCTCCTCCTGCAGCACTTATGACAGTGTCTGCAGGCACCTGGACTGGAGTAGACAGAGTTCAGCAGTCTCTCCGAACGGACAATGAAGGCAGGTACTCCAACAGCCAGCAAATGAATACTCGTTAAGTGAGGTAATGTCAAAGCACCTGCTTACCTGTTCCCATGCAAGTCAAAAACGTAGATGTTCCCTTGGTGGTCCGCAGCAATTACGCAATCACCAGAGCCATCAAAAGCCACATTCAAAAACCGCAAAACTTTTGGATGGTAATCAGAAGTGTTGTGAATGATGTTCACTATAATCCTGTCAAAGAAAAAAAGAAATGTTAAATTCTACATCAAGTATTACTTTAAAAAAATTTTTTTGAGTTGGTGTGTCATTCTGTCACCCAGGTTGGAGTGCAGTGGCATGGTCACCGCTCACTGTAGCCTTGAACTCCTGGGCTCAGGAGATCCTCCCTCCTCAGACTTCCACCTAGCTGGGACTACAGGTGTGTGCCACCATGCTCTTTTTTTTTTTTTTTTACTTTCTTGTAGAGATGAGGTCTTGATATGTTGTCCAGGCTGGTCTCCAGCTCCCGGACTCCAGCGATCCTCCTGCCTTGGCCTTCCAAAGTGCTGGGAGGAGC